GGTTGGAACGGCCCTGGTCTCTAATTAGAAGAAGTCTGTATTTCATCGTGTTTGTCGATTCACTAGCAAGTTTATTCGAGCGATTTTTCCCCCGTCCTTTTTTTTGCTCAGCCAATTTGTATAAATTAACCCTCGTTTTCGTCGACGTTTTTACACGATCAATCCACGATCGTAATTTCTCCGCACGATCGTTTGTTTGCAGTCTCGTTTCGAAAGGGGTGAACATACGAATCGCGTTTTTTTTCACACGGTCATCGATTACCAGACTATTAGAAATATACTCGCGAACTTATTCGAGCACTTGCCATAGAAAACATTTATGTCCATTTTATATGTGTTACATAAAAGACATTTACAAATTTCATTAGGATTGTAGTAAGACACCATTGTCATGATTACATTGATCAAATTTTTTGAAACCAATTTGAAAATGCATATAGGAATGGCAAGATATTTATTGCACACATATATTTACCAAAAAATTAGCATACAACGTGAATAGTCATCTGAAGGATACGATGAATGTCGAATATGATCATAATGGATAATTACTTGTTTGAACACTTTTTGATTTTTGCGAAATATATTTGCACCAAATATCGTATAGTTTCTATCTTATATTTTCAGATTTGTTCCAAATTTTATTAATATGTAACCACGGCAGTCGAGTTTCATTACAGTGGTAATGAAATTTCAAAATGCTTGGTACAGCGCATAATATATTCATAAAAGATTTCTGCAAGTTTCTGCAACCTTCGTCAAGGTTCCGCAACTTGATGATTCAATCAAACATAGTTCTTCTATGATATAATTACGGATACACTCACAGCAATCGCGCAATGAATATTTAAACAATGAATATCTCGCCAAAGAAAATTAAGATTTATCGAACAGAAATATTAAAGACGAATATATAATAAAGACAAACATGAACAAGAGTTTTTATCGCGAGCCTTCAATTTTATCGTTGGCTACTACATGATGCGCAGCAGAATCGATCGCGTATCAGAAATGGTAACTTTGCTCTCCGTTCCCCCTGCTGCTTCGAAGGAACTTCTCGATGCGAATTACGATTATCATTTATTTACCGTGACCGAAGCCAATCGATCAGGCTTGATTCGATAACGATTGCCTCGATATTCCGACGTACTCGAGCGGAAACTTACTTCTCTTTTGTTCTTGCACTCGCAACTTGTCGGACTCGGTTGAAAATGGAAGTAGAATCGAACATCCGGGCGGAATCGCAATTCAATTTTTATTCGCCTCTTTTTGCGGCACTTACATTTTCTTGGCGCTGGAAACAAAAGCTCGGAAGTTTAACACTTGACTGAAAGTGGAGATTAAAAGTCGAGTGAAAATTTCAAGATCCTCTTATCATTATCGTGACATTAACACGTTCTGTATGGACAAGCAAGCGTTTTAGAAAAAAGTTAAGTGGAAAGGAAAATGATTGCTACTTGTATTAAAATTTCAGTGTTTTAACTTTTTTTTTAAGATTTTTTTCAGGATGTCAGGATTGACACGAGAATTGTAAATCAAGAATTAGGAATTATTAATATAAAATTAATATTTACTGAGAGCGACGCACTGTGTATATGCGATAGTTTCTAATTAAGTTCTCGCCATTCGATATCTGTAGTCGAGGTTCGTAATGAACTGCATGATTCAGCATTTCTCAGGAATTTGAAATATCCTGTGTGGACATTTGTTCGCAATTTAGGAAAATACTTATACAACTAGAAGGTTTATCGTTTAAACAAAATCATACAAGATATTTCCAATTATATTAAATATTCATATTTTCCCATTGCGTATGACGATGAACGACAAGTTGAATATTCAGCTAAAAATAAAATATTCCACGTATGGCAAATATTTATTAATTTTCGGTAAATATCTTCCACTTAACTGTTGACATAATTTTAACATACCGTAACACATTATGCCATGAATATCTTCCAAAACAATTTGTACAGTATCTTCACAATTATGCCACCGAGAATAAACAAAATGAAGCACCCTATCAACCGATTACAAACGTACAGAAATATATAGCAAACCAGAAACTGGCGTAAATTAGGGCCTATAAACTATCAATTTCCTTATTTTACAGTAGGTGCTTATGGGAATTGTAGGTTAAAGATAGACGATTGGAATCATGCACGATCCACGTGAACAGGTGTTCCATTATACGAAAGACGGGCGGCAGAAGTCTGCCTTCACCGAGCATGCTACGAAACGACGTTCATTAAAGCCACGTTATTGCGGATCGTGCTACTCCCGTTTTGTAATTTCAATAATCGAGCCGCAGCCTTGTCGCGAACCACAATCTCTCTCTCTCTCTCTCTCTCTCTCTCTCTTCATCCTCTCTTTGCTTTCTGCTTTCTGCTTTCTCTCTGTTTCTTGGTGGGATGCGGTTTATAGGCACACACACGTATATATCAGACGCTTTTCATCGTATCGAAGAGAAAATCGATTATCCTGTGGCGTAATGGAAAAGAATTTCTCGTATCGATCGTCACGAGGAGAGAGAATACCGTGTGACCTAGTGGCGCGAAGGTAAACGAGCATACCGGTTGCACCCGCTCTTTTTCACGACCTATTGTTCCTCATAAATTACTACTTACCCCAGCCACCCCCTCTCTGGTCGCAATAGTAATGTCTCCTGTTCCCTTCGTTCATACTTTATGACACGAACAACGCCACCGTCACGAGAACGTAATAATAATAATAATAGATATCGAATGATGCATATTTGATCGAGGCAATTGCAACTTTACTTCGTTACCATTCTGTAATTCTTCTAGTTTATTTTTATACTTGCAACTCTGCTTTGCATAGGATGTTGTATAACAGTGTTTTGCGTTTGATGGTTTATGACGAAATATTTTTATTTTTTTCTTTTTTTTTTGGAACCATAGAATTTTTCTTTTCAGCGATGATAGGTATCTATCATTCGAATATGTTTCACGTACTTTGAAAAAGCAATTTATTCCATTTACAATTGTTCAATAATTTTTTTCTATACGTATTATTTCACTGCTTAATGGATTGAAGAGATTTGAAGCTCCCTTTGTCCTGAAATGACGAAACGTTCCATATTTTCCCTCGTTGTATAATTTCCTCGACACTCAAAATATCTACCGAAAGTTCAACATCTCTACGACTACTAAAATTGATAGCGCGTTCCATCCAGATGAAAGAAGAAGATAATTCCATCGTATAATCTTCCCCGGCCACGATTTCCATAATTACTGTTATTTGCACGTTTATTCAGCCGCGAACCTTGAACTTTCACGGCCGAACAACGTTGGAGAGATTGAAACGTTCCTGTCCGTGGATATTTCCACCCTGCGCAGCAACCCCCGGTGTTCGACTTTGTCACGCGAGTTCTCGTTGCAACGCATACATTTCTCGCATGTTTTCCGCGCTTCTGTCTCTCCCTGTATAGTCACGGACCCACTCGAGATCACTCGATTATCTCCTTTGTCCTGGAAGCTACTCGACCGAGTGTGTTTCGTGTTCCAAGCCCCTTTTCCTTTACAACCCCTCTCGGTTGTCTGCTATTTGAAATCTGAATGGCTATACTATGCGTTAGGTTATCATCGCGCGGTTCGAGGACCCTGTAGTTTCCTATTTATTCTTGTTTCACGTAGTCACAAATTAGAGAAGCGAAGTAGTTTTTATGGATTTATGTATCTTTGTAATTGACTAATCTAGTTAAACGTTATGTTTTATCTTCACGGATTTATTCCTTTAATTAAGTAGGAACAGTTAAATGTTAGGTAATCAAAATAAAATTCAAAGATCGATCATTTTATCTAGTTATGTAATATTTCATTGTGCACGTGGATTATCGTTGGACGCGACAAAGGAGAACTGTGTTTCTGCGGTGGAATTTGATTTTAGTTGAAATTTTTATTTTTCCATGCCGGATCAACATTTTTGAAACGATAGTTATATATATATATAGAGGATTGAAGATCATTATGATGCGAGATAAAATTTTATTGAAGTGAAAATTAGAATTTTAATTGCGTTATTTTAACTTCTGAAGGTACCGTTCATTTAGCAGTAAATCATCACGTTTAACAGCCACCAAAAATATCAAGTAAGGTGTAGATTAGATTATTCGTATATTCAAACAACGATCTTTGACATATCTCTTCCAGCACTCCAAATGTCCGACCACTTTTCACGACTATCTCGAGCCTAGAAAACGGCCTTTTCCCTTTTCCCATTGACTAGTCGCTAATCTCTGCTTGACGTAAAATTCCGAGGGTCAGCATCCAGACGCTTCGTTGTTTCATTTGCTTTACTCCAGATAAGAGCAAAGCGTACTCCAACGAAGACAAAAAAAGAGAGTCAAAGTAAGGAAAAAAAGAAAAAAAAAAAAAAAATGAAAGAAAAAGAAAGGAAGAGGAAAAATTAGAACGGTGGTAGAGGATAGTCCGACAGTTTTACAGGAGTAAAAGGGTCATTAAGAACGCTTTAAAAACTCAATACGCTTTTCATAAATTTCGAAGCATCGCGGCCGCATCCTCGCATCCGCGTAATTCGAATACCGGTTCTGCTGGGTATTTATGACGAACACACACGCTCTTTGAAAACGTGAATACGCCCTTTATAGGTCGTTCCGTTACGCGTACCAAGGTGTTCATAAAGTCGAATTTATTCACGAAGGGAATCAAGCGGCTAGAGAAGCGCGAGATCTTCGTTTTCGACTCTGTTGAAGCGTTAGGGATAGTTAGTTCTAAGCCATTAGTTTATCATATTTACGTGCTTTCTATCTTCGAGTTTTTGATTTTCTATACGCATCTTTCAAATGAACGTCGTTCTAAAAACGTGTTTCAGAATTAAACGTTTTAAAGGTACATACTGACTATTAATTCTTGGCGTATAACGAACATTGTTATCTTTAGATTGATTACATTAAATTGATACATTAATATACATTAAATGGCGTAATAATTAACGGAATTTAAATAGAGATTTCTTTCGTCTATTAAATATCGCTGTTCGGAATTTTGAGTGACCGTCCGTTTATGGCACGAACAGGCCCATTCCCTTCTTTAGGAAATTCCGAATTATATGTTCTCCCCGAGCTGTAAACCTAATGACTCCGAGGTCAGGTATAAAACCCCGGGAAAGGACTAGTCGGAAGGGCACGAGAGGCAAGCGAAATCCAACGTTGGTTGGTAGAGAGAATCAGCAACGTAGGAGGACAATTCATCATCAGACATCGTACCGGTGAGATACTTCACTCCCAACAAGATCTTACCACCGTCGTGCATAACATCACACTTTACGTTATACAATAAGTGCAGATACAATGCTGGATTACTTCAACACTCGATCTATTAAACCTCCTCCACCTTGAGCGTTAAGTCATTCGAGATACGCGATATCGACCGATCGGTTTGACCTGACCGGTTGCTCTTTAGTCGATAATTCGCAACAATCGCGAAGGGTGAAATATTTCGTATGTTTTATATAGGTAATTGTGCATATTATGTGCGTTCTGTGTATTCTAGCATCTTCAAATTGTTCTATAAGCGTGTAAGAATCCTAGTTGTTGTTTTCGGCTATTGTTGTTATATAACAATTGTTTGAAATAAACGATCTATGAGGATGTATCCATAGTGAAAGAGTTAAAGGTCGCGATTACTAAACTTGCGCGAGATGTAACTACCATGAAAGCTTTTATAAACCCCTTAGCGAGGGATAAAGTGGCGCCGAATGCTACGAAATATCTCGGAGAATTTCGTTTCTATACAATTTTCTTGCCACCGGTGCACGGTAATTGGCCGCGGCATCCACCGGAAGTCGCAAGCAAACCACGCTTGTGACTTAAGTTTTGCTACCTGTAGTTTGTCTCTCGGGGACTGCAAAGGAGTATAGCGCAGTCTTCGGTGGTTTATGCGTTTGCGTGCTTTATTCTCTCACGGTTCTTGCTTCTTGGATGTTAATTCAGATAATTTCGTTTGTTGTTACGGAGGGTTGAAAGGATTTAGAATTTTGTTTGGGGTTGAGGTTTTACTCCTTGGCTTTATGATCTTCTACGCGTGTCTGCGTATTAGAGTTAACTGCTTGCTACTTTGGTAATGAAATGTTCGCATGGAGTTTGTATTTTGCGACTATGTTGTGTTTTCCACGTAATTGGTGACTCAAATATGACTCGATTTTATTATGGCAACAAGCTGTGCGTGAATTTAGTTCTTTTTTTTAAATTAGTTAACACAGTGGGTTGAACGATTGATTTAAGCAGAGATGTACACGTGAAGGATAATAAAAAAGAACGATATCATTGATTGATGTCAGATGGAGGATTCCGTTGGCCATTTTACAATTCGTGTCCTGTAAAATGAAATCTGACAGTACTCGAAGCGTTTAAAACGTTACATCGAACAAGTTGACACGAAACGTTTTATCGTCGACACAATAGCGATCGATTCGAGAATCGTTCCCTATTCAAACTTTATTCTCAAACCTTCTGTTACTATCGTTTACACGCACTTTCTAACCTCTAACCTTTTTCGTTTCTTCATTTACATACTTTCTATGTGCTGTTATTTCTAAACTTCCAGACGCTTACCTTTCACAGTGCTCGGCATAGAAAATATAATTATTTAGAAACTTACATTTTTCTTAAGATACGAAATATCGGAGAACCTACTTTGCTGTTTACGGGCAGCCAAAACTCTTTAGAATACGAAATTTCCAAACATCGGAAATCTGTTATCTGTAAATCTGAAGATCTTCGGTATACCAAGCACTGGAAAATCCACCCTTCAGAGTATTAAATAGCCGAAAACCATCTCTTCAGAAGTTAAACCTTCAAAATTACCCTAATCCTATAAGCCCGTACATTCGCTCCAAATTTCTCGCCTCCTGCAAAAAATATCTCGCCGGTTACACGCTCGGTTCCACGTATTTCCATCGACGACCATGGGATTAAAAAATTTCAGCTCGCGGGTACTCAGCACTTGGCTTTTCCGCGAGTACAGCGAGTCTCGTATGCGTCAGGAGAAATCGTAAACCCGTTGGACGATCATCGACTATGAAAGCCAGGGCTTTGTGTGCATTGCGTTCTGGTGCAATGCAGCAAAGACAGGTGGAGCAAATCGGCTCGAACGTTGCAGGTGGCAGGAACGCGAGGAATGCCGACCGACACCTTTGGCAGCATTTGCCAACTCTCCTCCTTCGGTGTCACATCCATTCACCTTGCAATCCGGCTTTGCCGATCGCTTCGCGAGCTTATTGTTTATGGCTGCGCGAAACTGCTCCGGGGAAGGCGTGGCGAACACGATCCTTCTTGGTTTGCGCGCATTCTCTCTGATCTCGTTTTTTAAAGGCTTGTTTGTCTGCTTCTTGCTTCGTTCTTTAATTCCATTTCGACGATCGGCTAGGAAGATCAGCTCGTTCGAGGCCAAGCTCTTACTAGAAAATTCGGCCGATCTTTTTGGACAATTTCAACTATATTTGTTCATTCTGGAGTGTTTTTCAATACCACGCTGGTCAAGTAGGTTAGGTAGGACGATCTATGATAGAGATTTACGCGACAGCAATGGCAATTTAGAGAAAATTCGCTACTTCTTTTCTTTTCCTACTTACGACGTTATTAATACTCGGAGGATTTGGATATCTGAGCAGCAGAGTTATTATCGTATCGCGCCTCTTTTGACAGAATTCTCCATTTCTTATTCGTCGTTAGATAGGACAGATTAGGTATTTTTTTTTAGTTACGATCTTTGAGAAATTTGAATATTTGCCGTATGAGCGTAAAGTTGAAACGTTTCACGTGGTAATATGTAGAATTTGATTATTAGACACAAGGTATATAGTTGCTGAGAAATATTCCACTTTTTTATTGACAAACAAGTCTTTCTATTCATAAAATCGTCTATCTTCAGAAAGTGCAAAATCGAGAAATTAATAAAAATATAGCTCTAATTAGCTCGTATTAGATCTTCGAATGAGTTAACATCAAATCAATTGTTATTTTCATTTTTACAAACATTTCTCTATTACCTCCTGTTTGTATTTATAATGTCATCTCTTGGACAGTTCCTCGGACGTTAATGTCGATTTATTCCTAAGAAACGTATGCGTCATCGTTTGCATTAGACAATATGTGATGTACCTACTTACTTATTGTGTCATCGGTTTGGAATGGGTTAGAGTGTATGGCGTATGATAGAGGAGATTGTACGGAGTGGATGAAAGGTGGATTGATAGGGTTTGCAGTTACTTTTTGCGCGTATGAGTTGACAGGATTATTGATTTGCATATGAGTAGGGAGTAGGCTATGTGGTTATGTGCGAAATGTGTAAGGTGCACGGTTTTAGAAGCCTGCAGGGATATTGTGCTGAACGCTGTGTACTTCTCATACTTTATTCCAACTATAATCTAACTCCGGCTACATAAAATCCGAGTTTCCCAGTGAAGTTACGTAGTTAAATGCTTCTAAATATGAACTTTTTGTAACACGCTTTTACTAAGCTTTTATTCTTTCTTTTTCTAAATTTATTATTCAACGTAGAACAATGATTTGTGTTATACGTAGATCACGAGTGAAAAACACGATAAGTTAGATTTTCTGTGTTTTGTACAAGAGCAGTTGTAGAGTTCATTACACGGCAAACCAATTCTACTTGTTGGAACTTTTTACTTGATTTTATCACCTTCTTAATATTTAAATAATATATAATCCCAATTAAAGAGAGTCACGCAGAGTAATATTAATTAAGTTAAACTAATCTAAGAGTCTCAAACTAATATTATTCTCTGTTTTTCGAAAAACATCGTGGATCTCTGTCACCTGCTTTCGAAAGGTTTACGTTCCTTTTTACGACCAAATGGTAAAGGAGTTAGAACCGAAGAGTTGACCGAAGAAGGATTAGCCAAAAATTAAGATTTTCTATGCGTATCTCTCGGTATGTGGAAAATGATAAACGAATTGATGGAATGCGATCGCCGGGCAGGACTGCTGATTCTCTTTCTCAAAATTATAGCTCGTTAACCAGGGAACAGGCGTTGTATCTGTGATTTGATACACTCGTTTCATTAACTTTATTTATTTATTCATTTATTTATTTATTCATTCCTCCTTTCTCTAATTTCCTTTTTATTTTCTTTCCACGCGAAGCTGCAATGAGTCACTATCGGGCCGAACGAGATTTTGTTTTATGTAGGTCGTCGGATTTATTTCGTCTCGGGGCGTTCGTGTGGCGGAAAAAGAGGTTTTCGGCCGTGGAAATTAAAAAAAAAAAAAAAAGAAAAAAAGAATACAAAAAACAGAAAAGAGAAGAAATAAAAAACGAAACAGAAAAAGTGCATAAAAAACAACGAGTATAGGTTCAATCTGTGAAAAATATTTCGAGCAATCTGGATGTGCTATCACGTCTCTCTCTCTCACCCTCTTCCTAGATGATTTGCATTTGTATTGCTTTATTTGTCGCCAACTTCTCGTAGCCGTTTTCTTAAATTAATTAGCCACTGGCCATTTTATCTTGGATATTTTTCGTGCCCTAACATCGGGTCAATTATCGGTTCTATTTAAATTCCCTGACACAACGACGAGAAACTAAAACGCCGCCTATTCCTTGTGTACGTATATAGGTGTTTCATACGTGTTAATCAGATTACTCCCGTCGACGTTTAGTATTCGTGAGATCTAGATCGCCATGACCTTGTTTCACTCTCGTTTGTGTAGTTTTTAATGAATATCATTAAAATGTTATTTTCAATTGCTGAAACTTTCCTTTGATAACAGTATGCTTCAACGAGAAGTACTTTCACTTAAGAATAAAAAAAGTTAAAGCGTTATATTTCTATTTTTTACGTAGCATGCAATATCTTTGACGATAGTATTTTGATAAGAAATCGAGAATCTTTAGAATTGCATGTACTTGAAACGACCGTAGGATTGCAGAAGATGTTTAAACAGGCAACGTTGTTTATTAATGTAGATTCTACTTACGAGACGCAGTTGGAATCCTTAGTAGTCAGTTTTAAATTTAGCTTCGCCTTCTTAAGATCTCCGAAGGTTTCTCTGCATTTATCAGATATGTTTTCATTAAAACTCGAGACACGACCATAGAGAATCCATAAAAAACGAAAAAACTTCAAGAAACAACTTAAAACGTTTTCTCAATTATTAATAAAGCTAGACAATTTTTTAAGAAATGCGAACATGAGCCAGAGGTACAAGAAATCACAACGCGAATATTCTCCTTAAATCTATTAGCAGTTTAAACGCGAATAAACCTTACATTTCATAACCCAACGTCGCTAGAGACACGAAGAATCCCATTGTTTCTAATCGATCTCGTTAGCTCGCGATTTTTCGAAAAATATCAAGCGAACACTACACTGTATCTAGGTCAGTATTTATACTAGAGAGATGCTGGTAATCC